GCAGCTTGTTCGGCAGCGCGCCAGCGTCAGGCGTGTCGCTGAAAGCTGGAAGAAGTTGAAGTTGGTGAGTCACATGAGCAGCCCAACCTGACTCACGTCCGATGCTTGCAGCACCAGGAGGAGCAGCAGGGGGAGCATCCCTCTTCGGCGCCGGCAGTAGCGGTGACACGCTCAGCGTACAGATGTTAACGCAGCTACCGTTTGAATGGACCTCCTTGGAGCCTGGCCTGCAACTGGCATTTGAGACATTCCGGAAGGGCGTACTACTGTAGATGATGTAGCGATCAATTGTATGAGTTTTTCTGCCAGTGACCACATCGCGTGAAGCGAACATGGGACCGGAGGGTTCTCGACATCGTTACGAACTGGGCCCGGCGTGATGCCGGAGAAAAGTTCAACATCAGCATCGACCCCATCGCTTCTCAGCTTCAGTACTATTCAGGTGGCGCGTCGGTATTCGGAGGCGGCAGTGGCGGTGCGCCGCCGAGCCATCGATCTTCGAAGAGTCAAGTCTTTGGCTTCAGGGTGCTTTGAATTCTCAACGAAGGTGCTGGCCTGTTCGGCTCGGCTGCTTCCGGTGGACCTGGCATATTGGAAGTTGCCAACATTTAGCTGTCTGCGTTGGCGACCAAGTTCGCATTGCGCTGCGTGTCTCAGGCGGAGCGACCGGGTTTTCCAGTGGCGGGCGCGGGGCGCAGTCGGGCAGAGCAGCAGAGCATGAGTCATCTCGAAGCCACCATCTGCGGGAGCGGGAGAATGGAGCGCTCCGCTGCAGGACCGCAGGCGGCCTGGGCTTCGGCGCCGCGGGAGCGGCAGCAGGTGCAGGAGGCCATGAAGTGTGACCGAGGGACTCCAGGCAATGCAGTGAAGGGCGTGAGGTCCAGACAAGCAATCTGAATCTCGCATGGCCGCTCTTGCTTGGAACCTGAAGGGGTCTTGCCAGGTGAGCTCCAGCAAGCCAGGGCGACGGTGATCGAGCCGGGAAACCTGGCCTCAGCAATGCTCAATATCGCGTGGCTTCTATCCGCTTGTGATTCGTGTTCGGTGGCATGGCTGAGCTTGCACATTACATGCCTCTGGGCAGATCCGTGAAGGCATCGAAAAGTCAGCGACCTCCTGCGGATGTGGGAAGAGCGGATTCAGAAGCAGGCAATTTTTCAATGGAGTGCCATCCCTTGCGGAAATATATTTTATGCGCTCGTGTTTTTATGTTATTGTGGCTCGGGGGGCGTCTCGACCGCTTTTGTGCTTCTACGCTTCCTCACTTCCGAGCATGAGCTGTCATTGTCTGCTTCCGCGCTTTTGTTTTTCCGCTTCTCGGCCTTCTGCCGGTGTTTGCTTCTCGTTTCTTGTGTTTTTCTTCTGCCTTTGCTTTTCTGCTTCTCTTCTCTTCTGCTTCTCTGCTTTTTGCTTTCTTCATCCTACTCCTCGTAATTCTAGAACCACTATAGCAATAATGCTCATAGTAACATAACTGTCCAATCAAAGCACTATCTATCTGTCTATCTACCTACCTATCTATCTATCTATCTATCTATCTATCTATCTCTCTCTCTATATATATATATATTCATGTTTGCGCATATATTCCATATGTACGCATGTCTATACATTGTCACAATGCAGATGCAATGGGCGACTGCAGCATGTGTGTGTATATTTATGTACGCATGCATAAATGCATGACGGTTTGCATGTAAGTATCTCTGTATCTGCAGGCAGTCACGAGTACGACTACGACGACGACGACGACGATGACGACGACTAGTAGTAGTAGTAGTAGT